ACCAAAAGGTTGTCAGTACCTTAAAAACGACCGCAGCTAAGTCATCTGGGTCTGATGATTTGTGGCGCGTCAGGAGTTAAAGTCCCTCGCGGACTTCCGCCTCATTTGGTGGATCAGTCTTCATAGGTCATAGAGGTCATGACAGTCTGATCGATGTTCCCAGAACACCAAACTAGTTTAACTGCTCCTTGAAAGACAGCCCGTCGTGTAAGACGTCGGTAGATGTTATTGATTGTAATCCCGTTATCTTCACAGATTATTTCACTCATGCCACAAGTCTTCTGCCAGTGACTCGGATAAGTTGAAAGAACTTCCAGTAGCTATCAGACGCAGCTACTGTTTCCAACTCGTGAGCACGCTCCGACCGCTAGGCTTCTCGGCCTTTACGCAAGTTTTACACAGTTTCATCACATAATAATCTTCTTTTATGGTCAAAATCGAGGTCACCCGGAGTAGACTGACGGACTTCAATGATTTGTATGGAGCCTGGAGAAAGCCAGTACTTATAAGCGGGACGTTTTGCAAAGCCGCAAGCGACTTGACTCTCCATTTTCATGGCATCATGCAATTGCAGCCAATGCTCATCTTTACATTTTGGTGGATTGTTAGCTAGCCTAGAACCTAGCTTGGTTTGATATTTAGTTGTAACCAATTTACTTACATCAATCCATTCAGGACGATGGATTGGTCCAAATCTAGATAGGTACTCTGAAAGGATCGGCAGTCTTGTACACAACCACGCCAGCGGTAGCTGATCGCTATGTGATCAATCTGAGTCCAGGCTTGAGAAGCAGAAGAAGGACACCCGGTAGCACACCAGCGATGGCTGTGCCGGTAGTTAGTACTAGCAGAAACAGGTTGTGGTCTGCGTACAGTTGCAGAAGAGGGTCCTCGTTATTTGACCCGCAACCGACAAGTATCCATAGGTTACCTAAATGACTCTCTTCTGTGCCTAGACGCCTGACCTGGGCATTCAAGTCTCCAGCCAGTACTACAATATCTGTCGAACTTATTTTTTGTAGAAGAACTGTTAACTGGAAGTAAGACTCGTCCTTGATCACATCAGGGCTGTGATCTGTTGGATCATGGGCGAAGATGAAGAAAAGACATCGTTTCTCACACCGATTTCTCCTCACTTTGATGGAACTTTCTAATCTAACAGCACATAACCAACTGTTAATGGGGATCCAATCGATTAGCGCTGCCTCAGCTCTAGCGCTTAGTGCGACACCAATGCCAGTAAAACCAGACGAAAATGTTAATAGGGTCCCCGGATAAACGCACGTGAAATAAGATTGTTAAAGGAATAGGTGGAGACCGAATTTGTAGTTCTTCACTAGTCTTCAATATGGGTCTCGGATAGACAATAGACATCGATTCTGAGACATAACCAACCCTACCTGTTGTACAATCTGTATTAGTGTGCGAACATTGAAGGAGGCCAGTTTGAATGGTATACGTGATTTCGGAAATACTGTTTCAGTATTCTTATTTGATGGTAGCATTGAATTTCCGACCAGTCAGTGACTCGAGATCGTTTAGATAAAACAGACTTTCCACCATAAGCGAGCTGCTGTATAAGTTGAAAAATAAAATACGCAAAATGAGAATAAAAGAGAGTACATAAGTGACGTTGTATAAAGAAATAAAAACGAATGTTATCATATGAATGTGAATATAATTTGCCTGAATGAGCATTGAAGCAGGAGTAATTTTTCCAATAATAATTATCACTGATTTGTGTGTCGGATGTGATATTGCTCGAGTGCCCAAACCGAAGCAGATGGTTTCCTTAAATATTCACCGTCGGAGCCTTTGACCTATAGATCTAATCAACAAAGCAGTGGAACAACATTAAAAGATGCAGTATCATGGTAGCCAGTGACCAACAACAGATTTTACACGCCATTTATTTCCTTAGGAGCTTAGAGCTCATGTGCACCATTCGTTTGGAACCAGAGTTTTTCAACTACTCTAGGTGGACCAAATCTGCTAAAGCTACTGATATTCGCTTTTCGTCCTCTCTATTTCATAAACAGCACTTCTGTTGCGAGAAGGCAGTGAGTAGTAACTCTCTGGCAATTTCTGTATATGAGTGGCTATGTGGGAGCACGCCGAGAAGGAGGGCGGACTCTCTCCACTCTCGACCGTATCACGGTGTCCATGTCGTGTGTGAGACAGTTATCCACATCAGACAATGGATGACGGGTTGCGCAAGATCATGGATCGATTTAAGTTAGATATTAACAGCGTTGGATGCCGGTTCAGTGGTCTGGAGGCTAAGCATTCGCTCCTGAGATAAAAGGTTCTGGGTTCAAGTTCCGCGTGCGGGATCGTAACTGCGCGGTGCTGATGTGTCCCGTGCTAGCACGAAACGGCCGTTCAATGCTTCCAGGTTTTCAATGGTGGTCTAGCTTAGATCAACTTGTGAATTCAACTGTGAATATACTACAATCTCCACAAATCCCCATACTGATAATAATTTAGTCACAATAATAGAACAGGCTCGGGACTTGTGACCATAAAAGGAATTATCAACCTGAAATAGATGACTGGTAAATCCAATTTAAAAAAAGTAGTTAATTATATCAAACTTTAGAAAACAATTTCTCGTAAATTGCTCGTAATCATTTTTATTATTAAGTTAGAGAGAAACTTTTTATAGACGAATGACAAAACTTGAAACCATTGACCACTTTTAATCTTGAAATGCCATAGTCGATTAACAGATGTTCGAGTATAATTTAATTTCTCCTCTTAAATATCAAACCAGAATTATTTTGAAGGAATTGAAAAAATGTAAAAGAATCACATTTTCAGTTTTGAATAGAAAGGCATACGATCAAGAAAGAACTGGTTTCTTTATATTTTTGATTTATGGTAAGAAAAGATTTTTCATAAACAAAAAATCTGTTTATAGACCATTAATTGTTGACATAGCAGAACTCATAATTGTATTTGATCAAATAAAGAATATGTATGTTCAAGTTTAACTGGGACCGTATTGTATTTAATATTTTTTCATTGATATAATGTAGGCAACTTGGATAAGTACCGAACACACAGGATCACAAATTTGGTTTATACAATTTTCCCTACTTAAAAATAATATCAAGTATTTAGAGGATGAGGTTTTAAAAGAAATTGATTTTTTCATAGGCTATTGTGAAGTTTTTGGTAAATCTTTTAATGTGATTAGTTTAACAGAACTACTTCATCCTTTTGATTAGTAGTGGTTTATTTTCGTATGGCTTTCTATTTCTACTTGAGCATTGTTATTAATGGTACAGAGGAATGATATAAGTCATCAGAATTGAGTATTATCCAAAACAAATCTCTTCAGTAATAAAGTAATAACATGTTTCTAATATCTCAATAAGAAGAACATTCAGTTACTGACGTTTCAAGATTTAGTGTAAATCGATTTTTTTTTCACAGAGAATGAATAATCTATTGAAATTAATATCAGTTTAAACAGTATTGAGTAACACATAAAAATATTTAGCGCAATCAAAACAAATCTGACTATGCTAATATTAATGTCATTCAGGTCAAAGGTTGTTCTATGTGAGACATTGATGTATGTTTTCATGCATATGTGAGTTGATGTGGAAATTGTATTTGTAGTATAAGGAAGTAGGAGTAGAGTTAATTTGTATGAATGTTCAGAGTGTGATATGTGAATCGACTAAGTATGATTATTTGAACAAATGTTTCATATTGAATGGATAGTTATACCTCCTTCTTAACTAAAGTCAATGAGGTTTAGAATCATATGAAAGCTTCAACCGCTCACCTATCTATGATTGTTAGAACTATTTTGATAGCTGTTTAGTAAATACAAATAAATACACGTCTCAAGCAGAAACAACATTTGGTATAAATGACGTGATCCGATTTGTTTTGATTGCATTAAATATTTTGATTTCTTACTCAGTACTGTTTAAACTGATATTAATTTAAGTCGATTATTCATTCTCTGAAAAATCGACTTATACCAAACCTTGGAATGTCAGGAACTGAATGTTTTTCTCATTGGGATATTAGTTAATCAAGTTAAACTTCCATAATGATACATACAGAGTTCTTTTAGTGTAAATACTAACATTCGAAATCATCATCCATTAATAGTCTAATATTCATTAATGCCCGATATATTTGTTAACCGAAGCAATATGTGATCTCACTGGGATTAGTTTAAGTATGACTTTATACCATTGATGCAAAAATAGCTAGTTTTTAGAGTAATCGTTGCATTTCACCTCTCTTTGAGTAATATCATGCACGTCAAAATTCTCCTGTTTTGTATTAACGCAGAAAATATACACTATTGTCTTAGTGACGAGAACATTCACATATACAAAAATTAGTGCTTGTAGTCTATCTTTTCAGTCTCCGAATTCACTGGACTTAGAGTTTGGAACTAATACTCCTTATTTATTGGTTTAACTATCTTTGATGTTGCATGAAAATAAGCCTCAAGTATTTTAGTTTCTGTCAATCACAGTTTAACAGTATTCTCACTATCATATTTCTAAAGTAAATAAAGTTAATGAAATTTTTCTGTGAAAATGATTTATTTTTTCGTTTAAATAAGTATAATGATTTTTAAAAATCAACCTGTCGACAGACTTTATATGCCCACAACTATACATCAGATTTGAAACGGCTTAGGAATCAAGTTGGATGAGAAAATACGAAATACCTCCCTCTTATTTCTGATTACAATGAACGTCAGTACTGAGGCAATTGTTGCAGTTGTCTAAATGTTTATTTATCAATTGAGAATAATCGATATAATTATAATATGCTAATTATTGTTAGTTATATTTCTTATTTGCTAACTAATAAGAGTTAAATTTTATTATCAGACAAATCCATATTGTAGGTAATCCCGGAATATAGCAGAACAGTCAATATATACCTCACTACAGAAGTAAACAATATTCCTTAGTTTTGATTGATTCTGTAATTGAAATAAACACCGAAAACTATTATCATGGTTTAAGAGAAAGTTTATTTTTAAATTGTTTAAATGCAAATACAATATAAGACGAATTGTTAATATTTGGTAGTATCCTGTTTATTGATTTAAATAACTGGTGAAAAATCACATGTGCGCGTGGGAATGTTTAAGGTGAGGACTGTTATAATGTTAGTTAGATCCAATCGTTCTGTACCAGTAAATATAAAAAAAACGATTAAATATCATAAGGGATCCATCGGCTCAAAGAGGTCATAAAATAGAAAGTGTATAGTCTCAAGGAAGACACATACATCTAAATGTCCCTTAATTTAAATCATTATGTGTCATATTACACATATTTTATGCAAAAATTAATACTAGACAATTCAATATTTCAATATTGTCATTCATCTCGTTTACAATTTAATAGCAAAAATACCCCACTTAAGACCACTAAATTAATATCTCTTTGTTTTATCAATTAGCTGTTTCATTGTCAAAACATTTCTCTTTAAGTCTTCCCTCTCTAGGATTTGACTTACGACTGCAAATAAGTTTTAAAAATCCAGTTCGAAATTTTTCAGATAAAAATGCATACAGAATTGGGTTGATACTACTGTTGCCGTAAGCCAAACAATTTCCTAATATTTGTATTATTCTAAATAAATCTGTTTCTGGGTCTTTTGCATAATATTGTATTAAAAAGATAGCATGAATAGGTAACCAACTAATACCAAAAACAATGACTACAGTCACAACTAAGCGTGTAACTCGTCTCTTTGAACGTTGTGCCTCTGCTGAACGTGCCATTTTTGAAGATGGACCGCAACGTAGTCTCAATATTAGACATATATATAACAAGCAGATTACAACAAATGGAAATAAATATCCAAACAGAAAGAAAAGGAGAAAAAACATTTGTCCGCCCTGTCGATTATCTCTTGCGATATTTGTTTGTGCATCAAAATTGACTAACCATGAATATGTACAATATTCCGTAACACAAGAACTTTCACCCCCTTCCGGTGGGCCTTTTACTAAAATTGCACCAATAAATAAGGGTATGTTTGTAACCAGCACTACGGTCCAAGTAATAAATACTGCAATAGTAGTGTTCTTCTGTGTACGAATATGCATACATTGAATGGGATAGACTACAGCCACAAAGCGATCCAAACTCATCAATACTAAGGTGTAAACACTGCAATACACGGAGACATATGAAGAATAATAATAAATACGGCACAATGATAATCCCAATGGCCATTTACCAGCCACATAAACTATCGCTGCAGATGGAACACAAATTACAATAAATGCCATATCAGCTACTGCTAATGAGAAAATTAAAATATTTGTTGTATTACGCATTTGAGCGTTGGCTAGGACAACGATCATCACAAATAGATTACCAACAAATCCAATAATTAGAATCAGGCCAAAAACAACTGGAGTTACTATGCGGGCAAAAACTAAGAAGACGTTGAGCTCATTCGATTTAAATCCTTTCAAACATGATGAACTAGATGCTTTTGAATTAGTTCCTGAAGAATGAATATATGGTTCAGTTACAACAGATGAAACATTCATTTGATCTTGAATCGCATGATTGACTCCCACAACAAATCCGATGAATAACCATATCAGCCAACAGGAATACATTCTCATGATTTATATCACATTGACAGTTTCATTCTTTTAAATAGTACGTTCAAAGTGATAATCTGTTAAAATAAGAACATAAAGTACAATGCTTCGTAACGTGCATTCAAAGAATTTATTTTTCGAATTTATTGATAAATAGGAAGCAGTAGGATACATCAATGAATTATAATCAGTGATTCCGCAATTTTAATACACTTAAACAGAATCAGAGTCATAAGTGGTTTTCCCACAAAATATTTGCATCAAACATATCTAGTGTATTTCGATAGTGTGGTGTATCCAATAAACTGTCTCGGGTTTTATATCCTAATCGTTCCTAAAAACAAAATCATTGTCTAAAAATAGACTTTTAACAATGCAGCATAATGATTTTTTAAATTACTTTGAATTATCTTAAGTGGATTTGACCCAGCTTTTCTTTCGTTAAGTTCAGTTTAGTTTAGATGTTAATTCAAATCGGTAAATTAATTTCTTGTTAGAGAAGTAGTTCTTATTAAATATTTTATCAGTGAGCAGATTAAGTTAATGTTAGAGAGATTTATTGATTTATGGTACTCAACGACCACATTATTATGATGAATCTCTAGTTCATGTTTAAGAGCGATAATACGACATATTACACCTTTACAAGCTGACTGAGACGTCGTTTCATTGTGGAAGTCCTGCCAGAGTGGTTTTAGAAATGAAAGTTGGTATAAAACTAATCAAGTTAATTAAATTACATATGAATTTATTTTTGATTGATGTTTATTCACTATTGTTCACCAGTTATATAAATATATCACATTTTCGTCAACCCACTACTGGCTCTACTAGTAAAGGAACATTAGAATTATTCACTACAATGTCAACACATAGCATCAACGTATAAAAGAAATCTTCAGGTGCCTTTTTTCAAGAGTTCTGACGACCACATTATATGACTACCGTTTTCTAACGTCATCCAACTTATTTTTTTCATGTTCCATCTTGCTACTTCGAAAACGTTTTAGGATGGATATTGAAAAGTCCAATGTGAAGAGTTGTAGTGTGATATGTGCTACTGATGTCGATAGATATAAGTAGTATGTATCATCAATCAAAAGTGAAACACCTGGCGGCAGAAGGTTAAGAAGATCGAAGAGAATGAGAACAAAGGATGATTGGTGCGGAAATGAATGAACAACAAAATCTTAGAAGATTGATTGACATTTCGCAAATGAAGTGTCTACTGTATGGTTCTCAGATTTTACTAAGAGATTCTGTAATCTCGTGTTCCAATTTATTCGATTGTCCCCACTTGTGTTCTCGTTCACTACAATAGGAAATGAATAGCACATTATGTTTCCTAGTTGCTGCAGATAAGTATTCTTTTTCGTTTTTTTCGATTTTATGCAACTGTTTGGAGAGAAAAATCGTTGTATATAGTCTAACTTACATATCGGGACATTACTACCCTTACATTTTGATTTGTAATGATTAACGGTTGGGTCATGTGGTTTTCTTATTCTTGAGCTTTCGTCTTACCTACTAACTATTACCATAACTCCTTCTGTTCACAAGTCATTGTAATTGAGTCTTGAGTCTGTTACACCGATCGTTACCGTGAACACCTGATTTTTTGGTACATATTTTTCAAATTTTTGTGAGCTTTGTTCTAGCTGTCTATGTATTTAACTATGTATTTTTTTAGAGTTAGCTAGATTTGCTGGAAGCTCCAGAGGTTTTTTCTACTATTTCTTTCCATATTCTTGTTCGTTTGTGTAGAAGTAAGCGCCTGAGAACCAAATCAGCTTCAACAAACAGATTACTTAATCACAAGACTACACTAAATAGCATAGTTTACCGAATAAATCAATAAGATACGAGTCTATTACCTTGCTTATCTAATTTTAAATGTAGTGCGAATTCCAATTTCATCAAAACAACATAAATTTTACGTGAAGATATTCAACCTGTAAGGGTTTAATTGTAATCCTATTTTGATTAACTTCAATTTAATCAGTTACTTGCAAAACAAGACACACACAATGTAAATTACTCTTTCATGCTTTTACATCATACTTTAGAGTCACTGGTTTACACTAGTTAAATAACTAGTAAACGACCAAAAAATAAACTTTCGTTTTTCAACGTAAACTGAAAATGTTCATAAATGAAACATTTTAATAATATGAAACACAAAAATCAGAAGTACCTTTCTTGGATTCTAAAATACATTTAACGTTAAATGTACGGTAATTTGTGAAATCAATAAAGCGGATCTTAAACGTTATGAAAACCAAGTGGTGCTTGTAGCATTTCTTCTAATAAACTCAGAACCTTAATATGTGTAAGGAATAATCTGAAAATATAATACTTACAGCCTATTGTGATTAAGTGCACAAGCGTACTGTGATATAGCTGTAGTATACTATCTTTAGTGTATCCTGTTGAATGCTTTAATGAATACCGAAATATTTGAATGACCGTGTGGCATCTATTTGATATAGTCTTTATTCGTAATAAATCGTTTTGCTTCTTTGTTTTAATTACAATTCATATTTACTTGATATATAAGTGAAAGAAGAATTGATAGCCTTTGAATTTCAAACGTGATAAGCTTTTTTATACTAATCATAGTCAATCTTTCTTGTGACCTATTTATCCAAACTTATGTTAAATCAGGAGAATGTCTTTTAATGAAACACGTTTTGCATGATCAAATTTCCGTTTTTATTTCAATCTTCCTGTCTTCAAAGTAATAATCGATGTTCACCTTAGAATATCCACTATAATCGACAAAAGATTACAGAACGTACACCAAATTTATAAATGTTAGATCGAAAATATTTAATTTAATGAAGATAAATAGAAAGTGTGTTATTTTATTAAAATTCAAATACCTTATCTAGGTCATTTGATTTTTCTTACTTTACAACAAGAGTTCTAATTTTGCTAACGGCAGAAAATTAGTTTCATTTTTTAACTTTTCGCTACTAGACGAAACTTTACACCATTGTTCGGTATGAAGAAACGCTAATGCTGAATATAGAAATATCATGGGTTATAATAAGAAAGATTATGAAGCTATTGTCCGGCATCAGACGAACAATAACAGCAGGAAAACTGTGTGCAGAGATAACCATTTCTGAGGCTAAATATGACGTAACATATTAGCTAGTATCGTCTGAAAGGGATTATATTGATCACTTCAGCATATAAACAGCTAGATAATCAGTAGAAGGCGGAGGAGGTTTTCGATGGAAAAATATCTTTTGGTTTGTTTTGATTTGAAACATTCGAAAAAATTATACACGGTGCTCAGTATCACTAGTTTATTCTTTAAAAATATGATTTCATTTCGATAACACAGTACTGGCTTATGTCCTCCTTTGAAATTTTGTATGTCCTCTTAATTTCAATTAACCCATAGTTATAGATTCTTAGAAAGATTTGAAAATACAGTTAGTGAAGTGGCATCATTTCGTAATACGAACTCATCTTCTTTGCTAAAGTACTATCAAATAATTCAAGTTTATTGAAGTAATCATATTTTAGTGATTATCCAAATAAAATATTTTTAGAATGAAATTTTCTGTCAGATTGCATACACTTATATATAAAGTGTAAATTGTTCACGACAGAGATCTCTATTATCATGTCTCATTGTCATATTTCACTTCATATTCATTTATACTCGTTAAATTATATTATTTTAAACTCTGACCAAGGTACATTTAAAAAACAACAAACATTCTTATTTTTACTTAGGTCATCATAATGAAATGTTTCATCTTCGATGGAGTTACAATGGGTAAATCTGATATTAAAAGGTCTATGAACACTTGTTGAATTTTATTTTTAATACGTATATTTGTTAAATGATGATTTAATCAGAAGTTAAACCGTTTTTTTGAAGGAAAGATCCTTCTACGCGTATGTTAAAAATATCTACAGAGCCAAGGCAGTGTCCATAATTCGTTCAAGACATCTATCACAGATAAATCTAAATTTTAACTATAAGTCCCTTGACCTAAGCATGGTGATTATGAGAATTCACTCAATTGTGCAATCATATGCACCAAACATCTTTATGACTCCAAGACGTTATGAAAATCTTATCATATTTCTTGTTAGTGAGAAAGAAGTTTTCAATTATCATTACAAAATCTTATCTCAAAATACTCTTGAGGTTATCGATTTGTCAACAGTTTCCAAACTTGAAATTCAACCAACAATAAATTTCAAAAAATGTTTTTCATAATTACTATTAGGATAATATTTTAACTATTCTTTGAAAGTATTTTGGATGAAACAAGAGATTTCTTCAGTTTATATTCATTGGCAGTTTACTTCAAAGTGTAGTCATATCTTATTAAACGTTTTAATGGCCATGATATCTATTATAACAAATACTATTTAACCTTAATAAATCCTTGTACTGTATTCAATTTTATTTAGACAATTATTTTCACAAATCGAGAGAATTCTGTTCAAGTTATTAAGTTTATTTTTTAAGAAATAGTAGTATCATAACAACTGTCCTACAATCAGTTTTGTTTGAGTTTAATTTTGTCGAGCCGATTTATTAACTTATTTAACAGAGTGTTATTCCAACAAAAACATTTGTCTGTTCCTTTGTATCATTATGATCATTATCATGTATATATATAAACGTGTTTGCTTGATCGCAGGTGACATCCTACTCACATATTCCGCACTCTACCTTAAATGTTAATCCTTTAAATATCTCTTGGTGAATCATTCTCCTTCCCATATATATATGCTGGAATGTTAATAATTGCTTTTGTTTTGCCTCGCCTCGCCTCGCTTAGCCTTTGCCTTGCTTTGACTATAAGCCTCTCTGCTTCAATTCTCTTGATGTGCTTGTAACTTTGTTCTCTGTGCTTTCCAATGATAAATAGTAGTTACCGCTTCTCATTGCCTTCTGAGCTGTTATACCGTTGGAATTTATATAGTAACAGTTATCAAGTTGATTGATAAACAATACATAAGGAATTATTTCGAAGCCAAGCCACTACAAACTATTGGCCAATAGCCAACGTAGAATTATTTACTAAAACAGGTATGCTTAATT